GTAAGTACTGTTTCATTATCATTCATAATTGTCAAACAACAAGCTCCAGTACTAGGTGTTCATGAGGGATTAGCTCCTATGTTTGTTAATACAAGACAAGTATAAACAAAGGTTATTTCCAACTCCTGAAATCTGCAAAAAACATCAACGTAAATTTGTTTCCATTCATGGCAATGTTTTCAAATTATTTAATATAATTTAACTGACTGCAAAATGTTTTTTTTTTTAATTTTCAAAGATTATGTATATTGTTTTTTTTTCTCTTCAGACAATATCAACAATAGTGTACTGTACATTGAGAAATCTAATTTAGTAACCATGTATGAACTATATATATGATGCCCATAAGGACTGTGTTGAGGGACTGTGACTCGGCATAATTGTTTGGCCTTCAACTACATGTTTACAATGGCACCAATATCAAGAGGTAAAGCACATTATCCACAGGGAAATACTCAGCCACACTACAGCCTTATACCTTACACGCTGTCTGATGAATTAGTCTTGTAACAAAGAAACATCGCCGACAGTAAAGTACTATATACTGAAATATGTTGACAACTATGCTTGCCTATTTGTTATTACTGCAGGGATTTTTACGACTCCACCTCAACATGACCAATCAAGTACCAGCGGGGGGAGATGACACTCCTGAAATGTTTTCATATCTCCGAACAGCAGTTACACATTTTACAAATATCGTCAATGCTCAGCAACAACAGCATCCCCACGCCCGTTGTTGTTTTGTCTTTCGTGAGCAACCTTCCAGTTTAATTTTTAACCAACAGCAATATCCCAACTCGAACATTTACTCCCAGATTGCTGATAACTTTTTCAAAACAGATCCAACACGTTAAGGTGGTGTCACCAGTAGTACATCGCGACATTATGACAGCTAAGGACGTGAATCTTGTTTGATAATATGGCATTATGGCAGCTAAGAACGATAATCTTGCTAAGGACGTGCTTGATAATTCCTGGTTATACATACCCCAGTCAACGCCATGTTATCATGGGCGACGAAGCACTCAGTTTGAAAAAAAACCTTTTCAGGACAAATAATTAACAAGAGTACTTATTATTTAAAGTTTATCTGTTTACAAACTAGTTATGTGCCTGTTGGCTTACTACGAATATAACCATCAATTTATAGCTAGGGCTTCAGCCTTATTCATAACTATAACATAAAATTTGATTAGTCACACAACGATTAAATGCTCTACATTTCTATTTTCACCAAAGCAACATTCAATGCTTGTAATGTATGTAACAGCATGGCACATTCTACCGGTCCATGTCGTTAAGCATGCATCATGTTCAAAACGACCAGATCAGGGTGTTCAGATTCCTCTGTACAGCATGCTATCCATGACAGGAATTTAACATAATGGAAAGAAATCCATAATAACTTTAATTCCACTGGTTGCAAACAAATCCAGCTGCCAGTATTCACATATCTGTGCTACACGCCACTTAGGAAACCACAATGCCACACTGGGTAATTTCCAACCACAAGACGCTTTAAAGGCATGACCTTGTTTTACTGCCACCACGCTATTCAATATTGACAATTTGGGCAAAGACCCTCTTCGCATCCTGACACTGTTTTCATGAACTATTTGCTTTCTAAAGTCAATGACGGTTTTCATACAGGGGCAGGTACTCCTGACACGCCGTCTTTTCTATTACAACCTTCTCTCTGCTCATAGGCAACCAGACATTATTTTAAAACAGCTGAAGTTAAGCACGGCTACCTTGTTGGTTCATTTCTTTTGTTTACCGTTGCTGTCCTATCAGTGTGGTTGATAAAATATAATTGATCGTTGACTTGACTGCTTCTCGCGATAACACGAGTATTAA